TCCATATACTGTGTTTTGTTTTTTTTGTATCACTTATTAAGGGTTTTTGGTCAATTGATCAACCTTTTTTAATATTTGTGTGAAGTTTGAACTCCATATGTAAATAAGTGTTTGTTTGGTAGCTGTTTGTTTACGACACGAAATTTTGTCTGTCGATTTTAACTCTTGCATGAAACTGATAAAAACTACACATTTGAAAATTTGCATTTTCAAACATAAAAATATGTGAAATATTTCGTTTTACAACTCTTACTGACGAGATAGATAGTAAAATTATTAATTTCTATTAGAAAGGTACTAAATCGTGTAAAAACCAAAAGAAATTTATTTATTGCGAATAGCTTTAAAGTCAAACGGGTTATTCAAAAAATGAAAGCTTTAGTGCATTTGACGCAATGTCTTTCTATTATATCCTATTAAATTTAAAAAAAATCCTCAAATAAATTTAATATATATATAAAATTCTTGTGGCATGGTGTTTGTTGCCAAACTCCTTCGAAACGGCTGGGCCGATTTTGATAAAATTTGGTGTACTTATCGGGTAGGTCTGAGAATTGGCCAGCATTTATTTTTCATACCCCTAAATGTTAAGGGTGGTCCACCCACGTTTTTATTTTTTCACGATTTAGCATTGGAAAATACATACAACTCTAAATTTTCACACTTTTACAATTTTGTTTCATCCACAAATCAACAAAATGGCGACCGAATGCAATGATTATAGTATTCATAATATAATTTTCATGAATAAACTAAAATAAACAGCTATACAGAAGATATTCTAACGTATCAACTAAATACTGTAACGTATGAAATGGCTGCTGCACCATATCTTGCTATACGGAGTTTGTCCTATCTAGCTGAGCAACATTCAGAACAATTTACAATTGGCGCAAAAATCGAGTACAGATTAAGCAAGAGGTAATAAAAACTGTCCTAGTTAACAAGGTGGCATTCCAATTATGATAAATTCAGAGAAGACGACTCTATAAAGGATCTAAACGCAGATACATCCATCACTAGTACACTTGGACTAAAATAGAACCAAGATCTTGATTGTTTTATTTTTTCATTTGAAGCAAAACTAGCACTGACTGGTCGACTTACAAAACGTTCCATCCTATCTGTTGCATCATCACTTTACGACCCACTTGGACTTTAAGTTCCTATTATTAATTCAAATTTTGTTACAAGAAATATGGCTACTAAAGTTGGATTGGGATGAATCTGTGCCACAGAACATTGAATTTGCTTGGAAAAAGTTTCTTAACTGCTTATCGGATCTTTCCCTAATTAAAGTCCCGAGGCACTGTTTTCCGACAGATGTGGAATCTCTTCAGATACATGGATTTTGTGACGCATCGATTCGTGCATATGGCTGCGCAATATATACTCGCGTTATCAACTGATGTGGCACTACTACTACCATTCGCCTACTCACTGCGAAGTCCAGAGTGGCACCTACCAAAAATCAATCGACAATTTCTAACAAATCTTTTAAAATTTTTCTTTGGACAGACTCACAAATAGTATAACATTGGCTTAAGATGCATTCTGCAACACTTTCGACTTTTGTTGGTAATCGAATTTCGGAAATTCAAGATTTAACCAAAGACGCGCATTGGAGACATGTACCAACGCATTGTAACCCGGCGGATGCTGCCTCTAGAGGGTGTACTGTAAAGGGATTTGTTAATTCAATATGGTACACCGGACCAAAGTTTTTATACGAAACTTAGATAAATGGTCAAAAAACAACCGCGACGATATCGACATGGAAGTTGTCAATAAGGAGAAACGAAAATCAGCATTCAATACAATTGTTAGCACCAATTACATTTTGGAAATTGTGAAAGCCTTCGATTAATAGCTTGGATGTTCCGCTTCATCAATAAATTTCAACATGGTGCAAATCTAAATGACTCATTAACACTTCCCCAAGAGAGTTACATCACGCCTTTCTTTGCATAATTTGGAATATTCAACACATACATTTCTCTAATGAAATTTATCTTTTACAGAAAGATCTTACGATAAATGGCCCGTTACGTTATTTAAATTCTTTTCTCGAGTATACTGAAGGTTTTTAAATACTCAAACTTGGGGGTCGATAGGAATCAGCAGATATTCCAAAAGAAAAGAAACACCTCATGATGTTGCCAAGCAAATGCGAATTTGTTGTGCATTACGTTCGCCATCTTCATCGGACACTACCATGCAGGACCAAAGGCACTAGTAGCACTGATAATACTTCAGATTTGCATAGTCAATACGAGCGATTTAGCAAGACGCATCGTCAGATCGTGCATCCATTGTATACGTTACAAGCCGAAGCTGATGAACCAAGTAATGGGACAGTTACCTGTCGAGCGATAAACTCCATCTCGACCAGTCAACGTATATTTGCGTATTCGAGGCAAAACACCTTATAAAGCGTACATTGGGATCTTCGTGTGTCTAGCGGCAAAGACGGTTTACATCGAACTAGTTTCGGCTCAATTCACGGACACATTCTTAGCGTCAGTGAAGCGCATGATTGGAAGAAGAGGTCTACCCTCTGACATCTTTTGCGATAACTCAACAAAATTTGTGGGTGCTTGGAACAAACCAGCTGAATTAAAGTCATTTTTATTTAAAAAGGAAAACAAAGATGCAATTATAAGATATTGTGCTAATGAATTTATAAATTTCAATTTTATTCCTCCCAGAGCACCTCATTTCGGCAGTATTTGGGAGGCAGCAGTCAAATCGGCTAAGGGTCACCTCCATCGCACCATCAAAAATGCAAGACTTAAAACCGAGGAAGTAACAATAGTCCTGGTTGAGATAGAAGCTGTGTTAAATTCTCGGCCAATAACACCAATGTCATCGGATCTAAACGATTATGAAGTATTAACTCCGGGGCATTTTATTATTGGTAGTGCACTTAGGGCACTCCCGGAGCGGAGATTGTCAGCATCATCAGCAACGTACAGCGATGGAATCCGGTCACAAGCATCAAACAGATTTTTTGGAACAGATGGTCAAATGAATACATCAACGGACTTCAAGTACGATCAAAGTGGTTTTCGGAGCGACCAAACATCAACAACAACTAAATGGTTATTATCCATGAAGACAACTTACCACCTCAAAAATGGCACATTGGAAGAGTTACAAACTGTATTCCAGGAAAGGACTCTAAAATGCGTGTGGTGGACATTCGAACAACGAAACGAATCATTCGGCGACCAATTCACAAGCTAGCACTTTTACCTGTTTTAAATGGCTTTCAACGGGGCCGGAATGTTGGGTCACCGATTGAGAACCAATACGTTATACGGTCATATGTTCTAATACATTTTTTGCTTTTTCTTGTTCTGTATTTATTTGCCTAAAATATTCAAGGGCAAGCATTAGAAGTCATTCACCTCAATGCAGTTAATAATTGTATTTGCATTGTGTACATGCTTACATATTTATTTGCTTGCTGCGCTTGCTTTGTACATTTATGCTACCGCTATGTTTTTCTCCACGCAATTACATGAATATTTGTTAGTGCACATAAGGTAGTCCCATTTAAAATGTACTAAGCTTAATATGTGTGATGAATGATTGGAAAATATACTTTAGCTCGACACTTCTCAGTGGCGAACGTTCTTTATTAGTGCACTTCAGGTATAAAAAAGATATACATTATTTTTATTTAAAGTATTAACTCTCCCCTCTCTTGAAAAAGATCTTCAGATCTTGCAGAGATGACCTCTTACCTCTTTTGATTAAATGTTTCATTCTCTAATCACGGAGGATTTCATCGTACCTCTGCTGAGTTCTTTTCTGATTTTTAAGTGATTTTAATATTAACGTAATATAAATTTAGTAATATATGTATATAGTCGTATAATTATAGTTAACGTGATTATGATTATTAAACAAATTGATCAGATAGAATTTTCTTCAAAGGGAAGGACTAACATCTTTAATTTCTGTACGGAGTTCAAGTATTTCTATTTCTTCGAATCTTTTTGCATAATTTCGATTTGTTCGAATCTTATTGCATGGATTGCTTCTTTAATATGTTCTACATATTTGCTTACATATGTAGGTTTTATTATGTGTCGGTAGATTACTTTCAAAGAAAATGGATTAAGTATGTATGTGCCTATTCGGGTTTCACTGTTGATTTCCATTTTTCAATTAATTTCTTGGGACATTATTTCCTTCGTATATGTTACATGTTCCATTATTATTTTGTAGTATAGGTGAACATAAAAATTTGGCTACCATAAGACAAAATTATACATAGAAATTTATATTTTTGACATATGCTCATTAGTACATAAATACACACATACATATGTGAACAATAAATTAAACAGATAGAATACAGTCCACTAACTGTCAAGTGCAATGATATGCAATAGAATTGCAATATGAGATTTTGCTCATAAAAATGTGAAAATCATTGCCTATCGAAGAAAACACATAAATTGCAGTGTATACAAAAATACATGCAAATAGAAAAGTAAACTAAATGAGTTCATTTAAAAACCTATATTCCTATTCCCTATATTCATATGTAGGTATATAAATATTTCGCTAAAATTTTAAGCGAAACTATATACATCCGCAATAAATTCACAACGAACATAACCCATGTTGAGACTTCCCTCTTACTATAATGACAATGTCGTCCGCGTAGCCTTTCCAAACTTTCAATTTCAGTAAAAACGCCAGGTTTCCCTTTCCCTGTATGAACTAGTTGCATGATGCAAAATTAAAATTTTTTTTTTACCGAAAAGGCCCTTTGTTTACAATTTCATCTCTCGAAATAAGATTTATCGTTATTCCCAACTTCTTTTTTCTGCAAAAATTCTATTGTGTACAAACAAAAAAAAAACGAGGAACTGGCAATGCCTCTAATTTAATACACAAACTATGATAGGTTTTGATAAGCTAATATAAATTCCATACAAAATAAGCTAATAACTTAACGTGCTGGTCAAATAAAACACTCCTAATAAAAAAATAATCAGAAAATATGACAAAAATGTGTTGTTTATTTTCAGCGTGGAGATATACAGTATTTACATGAATGTATAAACTATTGTAAAATATCAGTACTGATAACCCATAGTGGAAGAGTCCCCATTAAATGGTCGTGGTGTAAAAGGTGTTGGAAATCCCTGCGGTCTCCAAGTATGTTGAGGAAGACGGGGAGGCGCTGAGGGAACACCATTAGGAAAAGGTGGATGAGGTGATGCACCGTAGGTAGACATTCGTGGTGGCGGTGGAATACCTACTGGCGGTGGTAATGGCGGCTGTCCAGTAGAAAGTGGTGGTAGAGGAGGAGGTGGTATTGCAGCAGGAAATCCTGTTACCTGCGGAGGTGGCACAGGTGGAGGTGGAGGCAACATATTATTGGACGATACAGGTGGCGGCGGAGGAGCCATAAGAGGTGGTGGTGGAATTATTTGTCCCGGAATAACTGTCACCATATTTGGTACGGGTGAATCTGCGAATAACTGATGAGGGCGATCAGCATGAGATGACGGATTCTGTGCTGCTAACAGACGTTCTGCTGCTGATCCATGGCGTTCGCCTTTAGAGTCTTTTTTAAATGCATAAGAAACCGAAATAGGGCGATTACAAAGATATTGTCCATTCATAGCATCCATAGCAGCGTCAGAGGCTTCAAAGCTGGCAAAATTAATAAAAGCGAAACCTTTCGAATTCCCCGTTTCGAGATCTCGCATGATTTTTGGAGTTTGTAGAATAACTCCAAATGCTGAAAAAGTGTCGTAAAGTAGTTTTTCATCAACTTCGGGATCTAAATTGCCAATAAAAATATTTGCGCCTACATCCAAATTTTTTTGGTGAGCTGATGCTTTGTTCACACGGATTGGCTTTCCATACAGTTTTATCATATTCATTATTTTAATAGCATAATCGGCGTCGTCTTCACTAAGAAATTCCACGAATCCATAACCTTGATGCATTTGCGTTACTCGATCCTTGGGCATATGCACATTAACTGGAAATACAATACAAACAAATATTGGTTCAAAATTTTTATAAAATAATTTATTAGTTTATAAGATTATTTCCCTCATTCCATTACAAACTCATAAAAAACGTCAAAAATATTTTTAACTCTTGACACATTAACAATCAAGTAGGTGCTAAAAGAACCGCTTTTCTATCTGTCGGAGGACTGACACATCATGGCCGAAAATTTTGTAGAGAATTTTTTAAGCAGTCACTCAACTAATATAATAGTTTTGGATCATTTTAGGATTAGGTTAATTAAGTGCACAGGGCCGGCCCGAGACAATTTACTGACCCAGGTAAATGCGAACCTCTGCGCAATAACTTTTAAAAATTATTCAGGTCATTTACAAAAAGAAAAAAAACTCTTATAATAATTAGTTGTATAAGAAAAAAGTGAGTTATTTAAATATTTTCCTGCCTTTAATTCGGAAAAATCAGACACTATCTCATTGCTAAGAGTTTGTGCCACATTTTCAATTGATAATGTTGCCAAGCCTTTAACACATTGAAGAGCCCAGGTAGGTTTAGGTAAGTTTGAATTAGAGAAACTGCAATCTCCACTAGCTACCGACACAGGAAGGGTAAGCAACACTCGTATTGCCGTAAATAAGTTTAGAACAATATCTAATAATTCGTTTAAACAAATATAATTTCAAATGTCCACTTTTATGATAAATTTATCTGTCAATAGCTTGTACTTCATTTCATATATATATTGAATATACTTGTACTTGTATCCGTCAATCCAATTAATAACATTTATAATTTTTTACAATGTTCAAAAATGACTGTATATGTATAAGTTTGCAGCTGAAATATTAAATAAAAATACAAAAGTTTCAGTAACTTATTTCAACTGAACGCATTTTTTATCGATTGCAGACAATGCAGTATGAATCATTCAATACAGAAATTAATTTTAAAATTTTGTTAGCATCGCAAATTGGCCTGTCTTCTCCTTCATAATTGAACTGTCTTTTCTGTTTTCTGAAGCAAATGGTGCCGTTGAAACTATGATTTTTGTATATTATAGTATATAGGGTTGTTCACTATGTAATTTCGTTTCATGACAACAGCTGATCTTACTGAATTTTTTCGCAACCAACTTCACACCTAAGCGTTTAACCGTTATATATTTGAACAGCTGATATAGTTAGGCTTGTTTGCAAAAATTTTGGGAAATAGTTTTTGTTTGGTGCCCAATCGAAGATGTAAGAAGTAGGAGTATTTTGGCATATTTTAGTTTTTTACTATCAAAGGGGTAAAAATGCAATTCAAGTAAGGCGAAAATTATGTGATGTGTACGTAGAAGACAACACGACCAAACACCAATGCCAAAATTGGTTTGCAAAATTTTGTTCCGGCAATTTCGATCTTGAGGATGCATTGCTTCCAGTAAGCCCATGTGCGTAAAATAAATTCATTGGTCGATGCAAATCGTCCAGCCAGGGAAATACCTTTAGGTTCATACGGTTTGTTAGAACCAAGAAAATCAATATATGTAGTATATGATAGTTTGGGTAATTTGTTAACCAATTTCACATATTTTCGGCAGAACTATAGTATATCTAATATTATACTTCCCAGTAAATTATATTATATATTATTTGCTGAAATATGCGATGTAAAGTCAGCCAGTAGTTCGAAAATCATTCTATGAGGTATATGGGGGCTAAGGGAAATATTGACCCGATACAACCCATTTTTGACATACAGGCATATTATTATCAGAAAAGGATTCTCTTCGAATTTCTATAATATATCTCACAGATTGACCGATACTTTCGATAAAATGTTCGCTGTAGGAACTGGGGTCCACATATTCAATACATGGGGGGTGGAATAGTTTTATTCCGATGTAGACAATTTTTGGTAATAAGGTCGCCCAACTCAAAGGCACTATTCATGCAAAGTTGTACCCCGATACATTCATTGGTGCTTGACTTGCATACTGGAAAGTAAAAGAATCAGATGGAATTTAAAATTGTGTTATATGATATGATATTAGTACGATTTCGCCGATTTTCGCTATATAACATAGAAGTATGAGAAAAATGTCATGTACCGAATTTGGTTGGAATCGGTTAAGCAGATCCCAAGAATCTATCTAATTTTTAACGCGGTTCCTATAAAGTCACCACATAACATCCCATAGATAAAATTCAATGTCTCTGGCGTGTTTAGTGCTTGATTTATCGCACTTTTAGTAGATTTTAACAGTACCGTTATATGGGCAGTGGGCGGTATTGTCACCCGATTTCACCCATTTTCACACTGTCGATAGAGGTGATAAAAACATTTTTTTTTCAGTGAATTTGGTTATTATAGCTTTAGTTGTTTAGGAGATATGCACATTAAACCTATTAGGAGGCGAGACCACGCCCACTTTAAAAAAATATATTAACTGCAGATGCCCCTTCCTAATGTGATCTTGTATACCAAACAGTCTTAAATCTTATTGTGGAGCTTAGTTATGGCAATTTATTATTTTTTGCTTAATGGCGTTTTGTGGGCGCGGCAGTGGCCTTACGATACCTAGAAACATGTGTACCAAGTTTCAAAAAGATATCTCAATTTTTATCAAGTTACAGCTTGCACAGACGGACGGACAGAGAGTCACCCGGATTTCAACTCGTATCTTCATCCTGATCATTTATATATATAACCCTATATCTAACTCGATTAGTTTTATAGATTTATTAGTGATGCAAACAACTATTCGGTGAACAAAACCATTATATTCTGTAGCAACATGTTAGTGAACGACTCAATACAAATTTTATTTGTAACTTGTCTATGGCCCTGTAAGTGAAAATATTCTGTAATGTACAACTCAAACATGGTAGCAATTCGTTTTTAAATACTCATATTTAGCCATTTGTGGTAGGAGAGTGAAATTAAAAAAAAAAAAATTAAGTATGTTTAAGGAGATCTGGGTTTGGCACTAAATGGTTAAAACGACTACTATCAATTAACTTATTTGACATTTCAAGTCATTCACAAAGAGTGAACTCATCGCACAACACCGCACTGAAGAGGAATATATGTACATTGGCTTTTGTGGCTCAATTCACTTATAACTTATATAAAACTAAACTAAAATTTCAATATTGTTAATTTAATAATCTTACGCAAACCGTATCAAAGCAAACATCGCCAATTTCACTGTATCATACTGTGTACATCGGCTTGTGCTTCAAGCTCAGTCTAGCATAAGCTGGACAGTCGTGGAGAAAGTGTCTAGATGTGACAGTATCTAGCAAAAACTCCACTAATTCATACAAAATGAACCCTGCCAAGGACAAGTTTCTGACCAACGGTTACTGTGCCTGCGCGAAGTCCATATATTCAGTGCTAGAATACAAGAGGTCAGGGTCGATACTGCGAGTCTGATGAGAATGAGGTAAGGGTTCTCTTTCTTACGAGCTCACTAGCTTTTCAGTTTCCAGCGATTCGGAAGTTAATGCAAAACTCTCTGAAAGAACCTGCACTTTGAAGCAGTATAGCAACCTCTAGCTTGGTGGCTAAAATTGATGGGGAGTCTGTGCGGCTCAGCTTCGATCGATCCGTAAATAAGCTAACTCCACCTCTTCTCAGGTCTCTCGAAGGCATGTGTGCAGAGAAGAACCACCAGGAGTATGTTCCAGAGCTCATAGGACCACATAAACACGGGTATTATATGTAGAGTGGCATAGAGTGTTATCTTTTATGTTCTCTTTATTAATATAAAAATAATTTTAACGCGAATCTGTAAGGTTGATGATTTCCAGCAAACGTAGTACCTTTTACTAATTTTAAAAGATTAATTTACATAAAATGGGCTTTGAATCTACATTTCAAAATGTGCTGTTTTTTCCAAATGCACAATGAATTTGACCTCGAATAACGCGATATGCAGCTACATTTCCAACATCGTACCTGTTGTCAATTTTCAATATACAATGTTCTAAAAATCTGAAGAGAGCAATCTGTCTAACTTAGCACACTTTAAAAACGTCGATCTTGTTCTTACAGCTGCGCAAAACTATGGGCAACGATTCAAGCAGACAGATTAAATGTTTACTATCTCCGCCAAGAACGTTTTGCCGTAAAGACCTTCAAAGCCATCTGCTATCGAGAAAAGTATCTGCAGTCATGTCACGACAGCGTGCAAAGACTCGACATATAGTATCCTTATGGGATGACGAAACATGTTGTGAATGTCTCCGTCCTTGTAAACAATAACTTGAATAAAAATTAAGATATATTGATGAAACGTGTAACAAGTTTCCTGGTCTTTCCTACATAAGAAGGTAAGTATTGCAGATGGGCGGAGCCAAAAAACTGTCACGCCAAGAAAATACCTTAAACGAAAAGATATAAAGTGCTACGAGTATAAATAATAGTGTTTTCATTTCTCGGTGGAAATTTTGCCACATTGTATGGTATAGCAACATTATAAAAACCTTCCATTTTTTATATGACAAAATAACAAAATGCCGACAACTCATTTGCAATGTCTATTGAGCTTAACAAAACTGATCCATTAATTATAATTAATAATATATAAAAAAAGTAGAAAATCTTGAGAAAAAACAAAGGCAATCAAAAACGAAAAATAAACATCGCCTGGGCAACTCTCAATTTTAAGTTTACATTCTGAGAAAGGCAACATTCTGAGAAAAGAACAAACAACTTTGACAGCCCGGGCAAAGGGCAGAAGAAATGCAACATTTTCGTGAGAAAAGAATTATAGCGTTTTCTGCTGCAAATTAAAATAAAATAGTGGAGGGGCATCCGTCTGCAATAGGTTTAATGTACTTATTTCAGAAACCACTTAAGCTATATCAAACAAACTTGCTGAGAACAAAAGCTGCTAGCATCCATGATGTCGTTTAAAGATTTTGTAGGAGTTGATGCAAAAATTGGACAATGAGTATGGCACCGCCTCATTATATTATATATTGTATACCTCATATATTGTGAAAATGGGGGAAATTGGAC